ATTTCTAAAGATTTCCAAAGATTGCCAAAGATTTCTAAAGATTTCCAGAGATTTCAAGGGTTAAAATCAGCTTTTTCCGCCTTGTGTACTTACTCCACTCACCTTTAAGCCATCTGATGCCGTTCTTTAGCAACAGCGAAAGGATCGTCATCGCATGCTAAATAGCCTAGTAAAATAAAAAAAAATGAAGGTTCCGAATTTTCCTCATAATCAATGGACTAAGCCCCATTGGAAACGACCGTCATAAGTAGTATACAATCTTCTATCGAAAACTTCCTTGATCCTCACCCTCAAGATATTCAAAGTTTCATTTGATACAGTCTTGTATTGAATGAGGGACTATTTTCAATGAATTATGCAGAACTTTAAGCCACCTAATGAGATCCTTAAGCAAGATCAAAACTAGTAGTGGTTGTTTTTCGTCTTAAACTCATACTCTCACCCTGCAAATATTTATTTCATCCCCATCCATATCGACACTAACACTAACTGTCAACGTACCCACAACGGATGCAGCATGGATCTACCACAGTTATAGCATAGCATAAAACATACTTTTAAATACCTTCAGATTCTCTAATCACCAATTTTATTTCTCATTTCAGGTATCAAAGCAACGAAGATGTCTAGTCGCCATTACGGGAAGGATTCTTGGAACACCACACAGGACGATCCGGAAGATGACGAGGAGGATCCTTGGCACACCACACAGAGCGATTCGGAAGATGACAAGGAGGATCCTTGGAAAGAATCTCACCGTCCATACGACAGAAACAAACGAAACATCGGTACGTTATCCTTCAAATCAATACCATGGATTGCACTTTTTGAATTTCTCTTTAGTTCGTCTTTTTCATGGAACTCGGTCTAAACATAGAGTCTCGATCGATAACGACGGCTTACTACCATCTGAAAGTGGAAGACTGGGACCTGGAATTTACCTAGCTAAGAGAGAAGTAGCTGAGGCGGTAGCTGGATGTCGAAATCAGGACGAAATTGCATATATTGTCGAAGTTGACGTTGATCTTGGCACCATGAAGGACCTTGGAGAGAAGAACGATGCACAGGGGAAATGGCAACAAGAAGGATTTGATAGCTGCCACGGGATACATCCTCCTTGGCAAGGTGTTTGGCCAAATAAATTCTCTGAATGGTGTGTCGCCGATTCTGAAAAATGTACAATTACAGCGCATTGGACGAAACTACCATTTGACGACCGCAATTCCGTAATAATAGATGGATGGGTAGAAAGTTACCATCCCCGACACGATTAATCAAAACAGATTAATATGTATTTCAATCAAGAATACAATATCTGTTAAGGATTTATTCTTCTCTATAGACTACATATGTACATGTTCATTTTCTTTCTCTTTCTGATATATGCCTGTTTCTTTAGCTCTTCTTGCTCATTGAAAATTGTTCGTTCTTTTCTTTTCATTTAATACTCTACATGCGTTTCTATTATTTCACGGTCAATAAACATTGATGTTGACCTTGATCTTTTTTTTATTCTTTTTGCGTATTAATTGTTCTATTGCATATTTTATAAAGCGTGATAATGTTATCTTTAAATACATACATATATATTCCTGCTTCTATTCAAAAAGGATGGTTAGTGTTTGCATTCCCTTCTTCTTGATTCTTTCATTCTTTCGTTCTTGCATTCTTCATTATTGAAATAAAAAATTGAACTCATGTTCAACAAGGGTGTGGCAAGCAGCCATGACACGTGTTTCGTTCGAGCAAAGGGACTCAACAGATGGCAATTGATACTAATGAATTAAAGAATAATAATCCAAAGTACCAAATTTAAACTGTTACCCCAAGTACAAGCTTGAGAGTAATGTTAAAATCATGTCATAGTGTGTGACAAGCAGCCATGACACGTGTTTCGCCCGTGCAAAGGGGCTCAACAGATGGCAATTAAATCTAAGCGATTGATAGAAAAATCGCTAAATGTAAATTTATTCTGTTATTTTTAATCTGAAATAAAGGTATATCTGTAAGTACAGTGAAACCTCCCATAGATGGGCACCTTTGGGACTATTTGAAATCGCCCACCTTACGGAGGTGCCCGCGTTATAGAGTTTTGTGTATAGATATCGATCCGTAATGTTTCTGCAAGCTACACCATCAAAGGGCACCCATACTTATGTATTGTTAAGCGACCTTTATATCTTTGAGTGTATTCAATATTTTATTCTAAATTATTTGATATCTTATTTTGTCTATGTTTATTTTCTATTTTCGTATTTACAATCAAGCTTTTGAAAAGAAATCAATAATAGAACTTTGCTTGCTAGTTTTTGAATCAATGTAAGCATCAGTCAGTTTCGATTCTAATTCAGTGACGAGTTGATGGAGTTGTGGTTGACGTGTAGATGCGAGCAGATGAAGTTTTCGAATCATTTCAAGAGCTTCAACAAGTGATCAGTGAAGCAATTCAATAATATGGCACGTATTATAAATTATGTGTTGCTCTCAAGAGACTTACCCGGGTGAAAGCCCGATTGCTTCAGCAACATCGCGTGCCTTTTCTTGAATCAAGGGCCCTGAGATTGGAATATTTTTTGCCCTTTGTGCTGCGAACCATGATAAAACAGTTTCATCGATGTTGTGGCTTGACTCATTCTGCAGTTTGCGTTTGACACCTTTGTTTGCATTTGATTGGAAATCCTGCTTGTATTCGTCTTTTCGTTGCAGAATATTATATACAGCACCCTTCGACACCTTGTACTTATCACATAATTTGCGTTGTGATAATCCAGTGCCATCAGCATAGTCGTTGATCAATTCGATCTTCTTATCGAGCGTGAGATAATGACACGTCGTCATTTATTAATGATATTGAAGAGTAATGTCAAATAACATGACAATTTATACTCTTGTTCTCATTGACAAAACGGCGAAAAATGTATCGACGAGTAATTTTCTTTTTTACATCGGACTAACTTTTTTCTTTCCCTTTCTTCGAACAATAAGGTACGACGAGAAAAAGAACAATGTTGAAGAAAATATTCATTCTCTCTGCCCATGTAAGAGAGGTGTAAAAGTACAGAATGGGCTAAAAATCAGTGCCCATGGGCAGAGGTCAGAGGTGCCCTTCTTAGAGAGGTTCATTTACAGCAAAAATCGATCGGTCGTTCCGACGAGTGCCCATATAAGCGAGGTGCCCTTGTTATGGAGGTGCCCATATATAGAGGTTTCACTGTAATTGTAAATTTGGGTTTCCTGCTTAGTTAATTTTATGAAGAATTGTTTATTTTATTGAGTTTTTGTTTTGTTTTATTTACATATATGAAGTTCCTTTTTTTGTTGCGTTTATATAGGAGTGGATTTGTTTTAAAAAACCTTTGGAAGTTGTCTTTTAGACAGGTCAAGGGGTGGGGGTGTGACAAGCTGCCATGGCACGTGTGGGGTGTGGGTGTGGGTGTGTATTAAAATTTGAAAGAATAACTACGACTATAGTTTCGACCTTTCTCAAGGGTCAAAATCTTCAGGTAGTTTTAAGCACTGCATAAATTTTCGAGCAAAAACTGAATTATAAAGGATAGAAATCCTCTCAAGTTCAAATTATGGAAGAAAATGCAGAAGCAGAGAAATCTTCACATTAGAATACGGTGTGTATTAAAAGGATGTGGGTGTAGGTGTGGGTGTGTATATACAAATGAATTTCATTTAATAGCACAAGCTAAGCTTACGACCGGTTTCGACCTTGCTTAAGGGTCTTCATCAGGTAAGTTCGGCTATTAAATTTTAAATGCTGCAATTCAATTCTAACCTACAACTTTGAAATAGTTTAATGAAAGTTTCCAAAGTTAAAACTTTGTCTAAACTATCGATCAATATTTTGTAGAAGGATCACAAGTATTTCCAAAATTTTGTAGCAAAGAAGCGAAATGTGTTTTAGTAATGAAAGGGTAGGGATGCGACGACCGGTTTTGGCCTTGCGAAAGCGACTTATAGGTGTGGGTGTGATAAAGTTACCACAGTACTAAGTATATAGTATTTCAATTTTTGAAGAAAAATCTTGTCAGGTGGCACGTATTCGTATGGGTGATCGGAAAATATAAGAAATTTTTAAACCAAATACTAAATCCTCTTCAGGGATTGTTCGCTGAGAATTATGAAAGTCCAGTTTTTTATCTTCATCTTCTTCTATATCGACATCATATTCGTGAAAGATATCATCGAATCGATCAATATCTGGTTCAACCTATATTAAAATATGTTGTGTTAGAAAATCATTCAAAATCTTTAAAATAATACATACATCTTCGCCTGAATCAGTGATTTGGGCTTTTTCAGAAATGAAAAATTCAATCTAAACAAGTATTGAAATCTAAAATAAGTAATGCAAAATTCTCTTAAATTGAATAATAAAAGAACAATTTTCTTAAAAAAAATTATATTAAAGATCGACTTATATCTCTCTCGAATAGAATTGCTCTCTAATAACCTGCAAACGGATACAATTTATATAATATTTAGAAAGAAATCTGAAAATTCAGTTACAATATGCAAAACAAAAACGATATCGAATGTGTCAAATAAGTTCTTTTTCATAGATTGAATGAGTCTTATGCCGAGACATTAATTTTAGAGATGTATATTTGCTTCGGTGATAGTTCAATTGGATTTCGTGTCTGTCCGAAGTTTGGTGAAAGCACGAAGTTTTAATTTGTAGACAGATACAAGGTGTTCACTAATATTGTTGAAACGTTTTATCATTATATCGAACATAACTTTAGTTAATATTCTATCGGATAGATGTGTAGATTCATTTTCTTTTAATTTATTCATTGCATTATTAAACTGTAATCGATATTGATTTGCTCGAAATTCAGCAGCTTCAACATAAACCTGCATCATATCAACTTTTGTTCGTTGTAAAATTTTATCATATCGACCTTTTAGAGATTGAGCTGTCTCCGTATCCATTATTGTATGTATTGGAGTAGGTATCGATATTTCGAGTTTATCAAATGATGTTGGTAGATGATTATGAGTGATATGCTGTTTTAATAGAGCAAGTTTTAGTTTTGATTTCTCCATATCAAATTTCTTTTGTGTAAGATATTGAAATAGTTGTTTCTAAATAGAAGAAGATAACTAGGAAATATAATGTTTTATACTGTTCCAAAACTTACTTGATACACATTTGAATTTTCACTATAAAATTCAAGTTCACATAATCGATCAAAGAAATCATATTCAATACGGATGATTTCTTTTTCAATAGGTATTTGATATAGAATACTCTTATAATCTTGAACAAATTTCGTAATCGTTTCTTCAATTCTACTTGTCCAGCGATTGCGTAAATGTCGCTTTTTCTCTTCCCATTGATTTTGGTAGTCGGACATTTTAATTCTATATTTCTCTAGAATTTTCTCTACGTATTTTACACACTCATCCTGATAGATTTCGTTCGAATGCGTGACTTTCGTTTGATTTTCTGCAATCATTTTTAATTTCAGCTCGTTAGGCCACAATAGTAGCGATGGTTCTTTATTTTGTACTAATGTACCCTGACCAGAACGTAAATATGTCGTATAAAGACGTTTTTCTAATTTAATACGTTGAAGTTGATCGATGAGAAATGCAATAGCTCGTAATTCTTCCGTATAAATAATAGTGCCAGTTTGTTGACGGAGACCGAGGATCATCCGATCGAATTCTTTACTTTCATGTGATAAATATTTTGGTATCAATTGACTGGAGATGACGACGTTATCTGTTTTTATTCGCGATGGTACATCGGCTGCTCGAGTAGTACTCTCGGATTCTTGATGTGTAGCCGATAGGTGACTTAACTTTCCAGATAAATATTGTTGTTTTTCTTGTTCACCAACTGTTAAACCAAGTAAAATCTGATCTACCTCTAGACATTGCTCAATATCAAATAAATCATCATCATATTCTTTCACGAATCGCCTACGTTTCTTATCGAATTGAATATTTGTCTCGTCATCTGCATGGAAATCATCATGAAATTCCTGAAAAATATCTTCAATCTAAAATAGAAATAACGCTTATGTATTCTGTAAACTCAACATGGTTCCACTTACATTTCCTTGTGCTAGACTCATTTCTTGATAAAAGCACAGAAAATTCTTTAAAATGATGTAAATATCTACAAATATTGACACAAGAAGAAGTGGTTCTATTTTAATAGGTTTGAAATTAACAAAAAAGGCATGAAATAAGAAAAGTCTATAATGTTTACTAAAAAGACCAATGTCCTTCTTGTCAGATAGTTTATAATTACATATAATAGGGGTGTGGGTGTGTATAAAATTTGTTTAATAGCACAACCTACTTGCGACCGGTTTCGACCTTGCTTAAGGGTCATCTTCAGCAATTGTGTAAATAAAGGATGTTGTGAGATATGCTGCTACGATTTGGAGTGTAAAAGCAGTCGAATCGGAAAGAATGGTATTCGGCGTAGATTTTTGAGCGTTGTTATGACATAGTTGATAGTGTTTTTTGTGCCGCAGAGGAATTTGTTTTGGGAAGGAACAGATGTTTATAAATCTATGGAAAAGTAGCGTAGAATCTTCTGTCGGAAGATTTTTGTTTGTTGGTATGTGTAGTATCCGGTTTGGCGTTTGTTGTTTCGATAGTGTAGATGGAATGAAGGTATAGTTCGTTCAAAAAGTCCGTGCGTGTGACTATTTTTTGAATAT